ACTGAATTGTGAAGACGTCAATATCTGGAGGGAAACACGGTATCCAATGGACAGCCAGGATGCAGCTAGACGATCTGGACTTCGCAGATCACCTGGCTCTTCTATCGCACACGCAACAACAAATGCAAGAGAAGACGACCAGTGTAGCAGCAGCCTCTACAGCAGTAGGTCTCAACATACATAAAGAGAAAAGCAAGATTCTGCGATACAACACAACATGCACCAAGCAAATCACGCTTGATGGAGATGCCTCGGAGGACGTTAACACCTTTACATATCTCGGCAGCATCATCGACGAGAAAGGTGGATCCGATGCAGATGTGAGGACGCGGATTAGCAAAGCAAGGGCTGCATTTCTACAGTTGAAAAATATCTGGAACTCCAAACAGCTTTCAACCATAACCGAAATCAGGATATTCAATACAAATGTTAAGACAGTTCTACTTAATGGAGCGGAGACTTGGAGAACTACCAAAGCCATCATCCAGAAGATACAAGTATTTGTGAACAGTTGTCTACACAAAATACTTCAGATTCTTTGGCTAGATACTATCAGCAACAACTTACTTTGGGAGAGAACAAACCAGATTCCAGTGGATGAGGAAATCAGGAAGAAGCGGTGGGAGTGGATAAGACACACATTGCGGAAAGCACCTAACTGCGTTACGAGGCAAGCCCTCACATGGAACCCTCAAGGAAAAAGGAAAAGAGGAAGGCCAAGGAACACTTTACGCCGAGAAATAGAGAAAGATATAAGAGGAATGAACAAACATTGGACAGAACTGGAGAGGGAAGCTCAGGACAGAGTTGGTTGGAGAGAACTGGTGAGCGGTCTATGCTCCATTGGGGGTAAGTACGACGATGTTCAAATGTGCATAAGAACAGATAGGTAATTTGATTAATAATGAGAAAAAATATACAATCGCACGCATTGAAATCATATCATACGATTGAAGGTGAACTCCTGAAGGCAATAGCAGTAAACTTAGTGGACATCTCGACGAAGTGGCATAGTGGAAATGAAGTGCAGTCTGATGTCGTGCATATGTTGTTCGAGTTTTTTAGATGGTATTTTGAGGTCAATAAAATGCAGTCTTAAGCGTTTGAAACTTGTTGTTGTTTGTGTTAAGGACTTCAATTGGTCAATTTCTCTTAACATATATATCCTGAGTGGATTGTTTCAATATTCCCATCTCTGCTCATAAACAGATAAAATTGTTTACAAAACTTTATCATACATAAATTTATACCACTAAATAGCTGTTGAGGTGTGGTTACTACGCTGGTAATTTTTTCAGTTTCTGAAACAAGACGTTAAATCTTCGAAACATGCAATGATATTTATTTATCGTCATTTCAATCATGTAACCAAGATTGTGTCGGAGTTATCTTATATTTAAACATAGGAGAAATTAAAGACGGTGATCTTTTTTTTTTGACTACTATGATGTATCTGCTTTAATTTTCAGTTATAGATTGCAATCTGTTCATATAAGCGCATGAACAGATGATACAGTTACGTTGTAGGAGTTGACTGGTTAGAAAGTACATTAAACAGATAACTTCTTGAAGCGTTTGAATAGATAGGAAAATTGATAATCCATACTTTGATTGTAGCTCTTCGAATTTAATCTTCTAGTAAATACATAGAGTACACCTATGGAAGACAAATTGTTCAGTTAGGTTTGGTGTATGAAAAACTGTATGCTTAATAAGGTCGTGCATCATAAGTTTTGGACAAGATACTATCATAAATACTTTTTTAAAATAGATTTTGTTCAAGGGGTTTTCCAAATTAGAAGAGTATGCAGCCTTTGAGGGGGGGCATATTTAAGTTTTCATCAATCATTTCATTTTTATTCCTTATTAGCTTAAGCTTATTCATGCATGTAGTATGCTTTAAATGTGATTCTACACCGACAAGAATGTTCTGACTGGAAATTTGAAAATAAAGAAGTCTAGTCTCAACACATCTGTTGTTACGAGTACTGAAAACCGTTCCTGTTATAAAGAATACCGGGCTCCTTAAATCTTGAGACATATTTTTCAAATAAGTTCTTATTAGTATTACTATGTATTGCAGTGAATCGTCTATAGAATATACAATACTTCGTAATTCTTATCAGCGTTTTTTTTCAGTTCTCAAGGAGGACATTTCTGAATGTTTTTCACTTGATTTATTACCGAATGTATGAGAAAAACTCTTATGGTGTTATGAACATCAATATGGAAAAATTAAAACCATTGGAATATTCATTCATTGATTTATTTACAAATTAACAAATCTACTATACGTGCATTCTTCGCGTAATATTAAAAACGACAAAACCAGTCTGGAAGTCTATATTCTTTGTCAATGAATCATTAGAAGGCCTGAAAAATGTTTACTGATCCGAATTACCTTACTTTATATTATTACATTAAGGAAAATCAACTCACTATGAGATTTAATCTCATGTTATTTATTTCAAACCTTACAGAAATTAACTCTGAAACATTCAATTATTAACCAGTCCGTTGAAGATTTTCTCTGCATTAACATATTCATTGGTGGGCGGTGGTCTTTAGTCTACGTAAAAATTTATTGGCCATACAGTACAATTGATTCGCGATGATACATTCGGAAAACTAATTACATTCAATATTGTTATTTTAAAGGTGTAGATAAATAATTAACTCTAACGAATAAAATATTAACGTCTACAGAAATTCCATCCTTAACTGAAGTCTAATTCTACTGGACGTAAAAGTTAGTTCTCAAGAAACTACGGGTCAGATGATCAAGACATGGTCTGAAAGCGAAATCATACTTCCGACTGTAGAGAGCTGCGAAAACAGTAAGGTGTTTACATCAGACAACCAGCATCTGCAGCGATGCTGCCTTCTCACAAGGAAGAAAGGGGTTAGAAAAGAACGACCGTAAAACACCAAACCTCACCATACCCTTCGAATTTCCGTCTCCAGCCGAAAGGCCTTTTAAAGAGCGGAGCTAACACTTTATCATTACCAAGCTTTCGGAGATGACACTTGCATCATCTGACTTTTCAGGAGTGGACATTCTACCAAGAGACACGCTTGCTGACTTAGAATGTGCCGATGACATGGTTCTAATTGGTGAAGACGTTGTCAAAATGCAATCTCATGATCACCCTAAGCAACATTGCAAACATGTTCGGGGTGCGGTTTTATCCATCGAAACGCAAAATGTTGCTTCAAGATTGGGCTGCATCGGCACCTAAACTTGTGATAGAGAGTGAAGTAGTCAGGCGTTTCGATCGCTTCACTTGTCTCGGGAGTCTCGTCAGCGCTGAAGGCTTGGTGACTGACGAAAAAGGATGGTAGATCAATAGATGAAGTGTTGAAACTCCATCAGTTGAGCTGGTTGGTATGTGTGCAATGTATGCGTAACCGCTGACTGCCCCGATGAGCGATGTTTTGTGATGTAGGAGTAGGCTGGAAGAAAGTTAGGGACAGCCAAACCAAAACATAGGGCCAATCCATGGAGTCACTGACAAGTGGATTGAGTCATGTTGGTAAGTGTCGACTAGTTGGTTGGGGTCCGCGAGATGATAGTAATCGATAGTTATAAATTTTGAATGATATCCATACAGGAAAATGGAGCGAACTGCTGCACAGTGTACTTGTCAACTGGTTAGCAGACGGAGATCTTGCCGAAGCCGTAAATGACGTGAATTGGCGAAAGCCAATCGAGCTTTCTGTATCCGAGCTGAGATTTCGTCAGTCACCAAGCCTTCAGCGCTGACGAGACTCCCGAGACAAGTGAAGCGATCGAAACGCCTGACTACTTCACTCTCTATCACAAGTTTAGGTGCCGATGCAGCCCAATCTTGAAGCAACATTTTGCGTTTCGATGGATAAAACCGCACCCCGAACATGTTTGCAATGTTGCTTAGGGTGATCATGAGATTGCATTTTGACAACGTCTTCACCAATTAGAACCATGTCATCGGCACATTCTAAGTCAGCAAGCGTGTCTCTTGGTAGAATGTCCACTCCTGAAAAGTCAGATGATGCAAGTGTCATCTCCGAAAGCTTGGTAATGATAAAGTGTTAGCTCCGCTCTTTAAAAGGCCTTTCGGCTGGAGACGGAAATTCGAAGGGTATGGTGAGGTTTGGTGTTTTACGGTCGTTCTTTTCTAACCCCTTTCTTCCTTGTGAGAAGGCAGCAGCGTACCCTGAAGGTTTTCTCTTGACGCAAATAATTTATTAGGCTTAACGTGTTAACATAGTAAGCTTAAGTCTTAATAGTTTCGTTTTAAAATGAAACGAAGAAAAAAAGCTTTGGTTATTGGGAATTTACGGACTATTTTTGTTCTAAGCTACACGTTCGTGGACTTATATTTTAGTCCACCGAACCTTGTGAATATGTCTCCTCCTAGGATCCGTCTGCATTAACTAGTTTGAATTGGCGATCGATACCTAATTAGTCGTGTCATGTTATGTTTCAAATGCTCTTAGGTCGGATAGTTTCAAAATTCTGTCTTGTCCAATAGCTTACCTAGAAAAAGGCTAACAACCTCCATCAACTCTTCCACTCAGTTGATCAATAGGTTTAGCCTGTCATCTCGATGCCCACTAAATTGTCCAATCAGATTTAGGTAATAGGATAAATTTTTCGTTTGTCCCTAACATACATACTATATAGCTGTCTAGTTGTTTGGACTAACCAACAAACTACGAGTAGTGTGATTGACACACCAATTTTAATTAAATTCGGATGGAAACATTTTCTATTTATCAACATCATAGCTAGTCACATTATGGCCAAGGCCATTGACTTTTTATTTGTGATTGGACACAATTCACGTGAGATTTACCTGCCTACGTCCAATCGATTCACCATGTTTTGTCGCTTACCTACGCAGTTCAAACTTATTTTTTCCACAATTTTAATGTATTCAAAATAAGTTTGTATTTTGTTTCTCAGATAATATTTGTAAATTTTAAAGCATTGTCGTTATATTTCATTCAATTTACAGCTTGAAGAATTGGAAGTTGTATGCTCAAAACCAACTGCTCCTTCCTGGTTCTCTAAATGTAAAAAATCCCAAAGCATATTAAATGTAAATAATCGTCAAAGTGGATCAAATCAATCAGCATTGTATACAACGTATACAGATTCATCAATAAGTATGGCTGAATCGGACCAACTCAACAGTCAATCGTTGTTAGTTGATGTAGAACAACACGCTCTTCCTAAAACATCAACAACTTATTCTACATTTTCAAATCCAACGGTAGAATATGAAAACCGAACAAATTTGTTGAATAAACTTCTTGGAGAATTAAATTTGTTATCACAGATTATTTTTAATTTAGACAGTACTTATAATGTATGTAATTATGATCTTCATGAGTTATGCAAATGTATTCTACAAGATTTAACAGAATTACATAATGATGAAGAAGATGAAGAGGATATTTGTGATCAGGAGTTGGCCTTTCCTTCACCTCTAATGCCAACAACAACACAACCTTCAAATTATCATAAAGAGGAACTACACGCAGTATGTTGTTTGAATTACCTGTGTTATATTTTATGCAACCATCACTATTAATGACGTTGCGAATCGACTTAGGTTAGGCTAACACATTGAAAATATGAGACCGCTGACAGATGTATTTTTCTAGTACGGGACTCCCCAATGACGCTAATCTGCGACTCTACCGTCTAGAATTAAGCCTGAGGCATCTGGTCTCAGTGCACACAGCTGATGAGTCCCGGACTGGGACGAAACAACTGCTTTTGATGCTTCCTGGTTCTTAATAATTGTTTAACTTGTTTCGGTTCGCGATTTCCATACCATTTGACAATTTCCATGACTTCCATACAACAACTATGATTCTTTGCAGTCTGAATTGTCTAGTTTTCACTTTCGGTCTCCAATGATATATATATATATATATTTATATATATGTAATTAACATGTAATGGTTGATTTTTTATGTCATAATTATGATGGAAAAACTTTTCAATCAATTCTATGACTCTGAAGATCTTTTTTTAACAAGGTTGAGTTTTTATTATTTCAATTTAATTAAAAGTTCAAAAATTATGTTCGCTTTTTTATGAACTAAGCTTAGCTTGTGTATCTTCCGGTAGATATTTTTATGGTTATTGAATCCAAATTAGATTTTATGAAGAAATTTTCTGTGAATCAAGTGAAGCATAAATTACTACATTAGGTCCAAGTTGTTTAAAATGTATACATCATAACCACCAAAGGGGTGTTAAAAAAACAAAAACAAGATAAGTTGATTTGTAGTGGTTACTATTATTCTGTTATTAATGTTTTGACTGAAATTTGATCAGTAGTTTGGCATATGTTCATCGTATATGGATTGTCTTTATGTATATATTATGAAACAAGTTTATATAGAATAGATTCAGTACAGCTAGCATTGGAATCAAGGGCGCGTGTTCCGTCCCGTTTAGAACTTGCTAGATGGACTGACTGCAAGTGCCGGAATGATCGAATCTGGGTGGGTCACTCATGCGTCTCAACTAAGACGAAACGCACATTCTGAATCACACTGTTATCCTCATCCTACCTAGCCTTTGAAACCAAGATAAAAACCATTTTTGAATTGATACTAATTTTAAAGTAGGGAGTTACTTAAAATTTAATCTGCAGTATTTGTTGTAATTAAATGCTATATGTTCCATTGCAAAAAGAAGATATAGTCCATTCTAAAAAAAATCCGCCAGTAGACCGTGGCTACTGCCGGTCCCAAGCCCGGATAAAGGGGGAGGGATGGGCATGGAGTTGGCGACCCCATCCCACCAAACAACTAACTTGCCTAAAAATTGCTAACCAGGATAATTCAAACCATTTTTACTCTGCCCTGGGAGTTGGAATAAGAATTATGACGTCACGTGATGAAAGCCGAGTTCCCTCGGAAGTCACGAGGTCGATGCCTCTTCTCACAACTAGAGCAACCATTCTTCTCGGTACATGGAACGTTCGAACATTGTAGGAGACTGGAGGACTATTTCAAGTTGCAGCAGAAACGAAAAAGTACAACCTGGAGGTGCTTAAAATCAGCGAAACGCATTGGACACAGGTAGGACAACTGAGACTAGCTTCAGGGGAACTGCTGTTATACTCTGGCCATGAAGAAGAAAGTGCTTCACATACACAAGGAGTTGCACTGTTGCTGTCCAAACAAGCACAAAAAGCACTGATAGGACGGGAATCTCATGGACCAAGTATCATTGAAGCATCCTTCAAAACAAAGAAAGAGGACATTACAATGAACGTCATCCAATGCTATGCACCTACTAACGACTACAATGACGACGTTAAAGATCAATTCTACGAAAGGCTGCAGCCAATGGTCGACAGATGCTCATCAAAGGATTTGACGATTCTGATGGGAAACCTAAATGCCAAGGTTTTGGCATGGACAACACTGGATATGAAGACATCATGGGACGATATGGACTAGGAGAAAGGAACGAAAACCGTGGGAGATTTGCAAACCTATATGCCTTCAACAAACTGGTCATCGGCGGCACAATATTCCCGCACAAACGCATACACAAAGCTACGTGGATTTCACCGGACCACACCACTCAGAACCAAATCGACCATATCTGTATCTGTATCAACAAAAAGTTCAGAAGGACTATGGAGGATGTGAGGACCAAGAGAGGATCTGATATAGCCTCAGATCGCTACTTGATGGTCGCCAAAATGAAACTGAAACTCAAGAAACACTGGATGACGGGGCGGACACAACATCACAAAAGTTTGATACGGCCTTTCTTTGGGATATTGGCAAAGTCAACCAATTCAGGATAACCCTTAGCAATAGGTTTCAGGCCTTGCACGATATACTCAATTGAGAGGAAGCAACATTGAAGAACAATTGGAAGGGGATCAAGGAGGCAATCACTTCAACATACCACGAGGTTCTGGGTCACAAGGAATGGATCTCTGTTTGTACTTTTGAAAAAATTGAAGAAAGGAGGAACAAGAAGGCAGCAATCAATGTCAGCCGAACAAGAGCAGAGAATGTTAAGGCACAAGCTGAACATACAGAAGCAAACAGGCAAATGAAGAAGAGCGTCAGAGCCGACAAATGAAAATATGTGGAAGATCTAGCAATGACGGCGGAAAAGGCTGCAAGAGAAGGAAACATGAGACAATTGTACGATACAACAAAGAAGCTCGCTGGAAACCATCGTAAACCAGAACGACCAGTGAAAAGCAAGGAAGGCAAAGTAATCAGCAACACTGAAGAACAGCGAAACAGGTGGGTAGAGCACTTTCAGGAACTCTTGAATCGACCAGCTCCACTGAACCCACCCAACATCGAAGCAGCAACTGCGGATGTTGGCACACCAACAATTGAAGAGATCAGTATGGCCATCAGACAAATCAAGAGCGGCAAAGCAGCGAGACCAGACAACATTCCAGCAGAGGCAATCAAAGCAGACGTGGCAGCTACTGCAAAGAAGCTCCACATTCTCTTCAGCAAGATTTGGGATGAAGAACAAGTACCAACAGACTGGGAAGAACGATACCTGATCAAAATACCAAAGAAAGGCGATCTCAGCAAGTGTGAGAACTACAGAGGCATCACTCTTCTCTCAATACCAGGCAAAGTATTTAACAAGGTGTTGCTAAACAGAATAAAGGACTTCTTAGACGCCCAAATTCGAGATCAACAGGCTGGATTTCGTAAGGATCGATCGTGTACCGACCAAATCGCAACATTACGGATCGTTGTGGAACAATCAATTGAACGGAACTCACCACTCTACATCAACTTCATTGACTACGAGAAAGCATTCGATAGCGTGGACAGGACGAAACTATAGAGAATTCTTCGATACCACGGTGTGCCTGAGAAGATAGCATCATACGAACTTTTATGATGGATTAAACTGCGAAATCGTGCATTGAGGTACAGGTATTTATGAACGATTTTCTTCGCAAATTACTTCGGAATCGTTGATCAGACACAATGAGCAATACTTTTTTGTGGGAGAGAACAAACCAGACTCTAGTGGAGGCGGAAATCAGGAAGAAGCGGTGGAGTTGGTTGGGACACACTGCGAAAAGCACCTAAGTGCGTCACAAGACAAGCCCTCAGTTTGGATTTTCAAGGAAAGCGGTCAAAGGAAAAGAGGAAGGCCAAAGAGCACAATACGCCAAGAAATTGAGGAAGACATGAGAAGAATGAACAGAAATTGGAAAGAACTAGAAAGGGAATCCCAGGACAGAGTTGGTTGGAGACAACTGGTGGGCGGCCCATGCTTCGTTGGGGGGTAACAGGTAAGTTATTTCTTCGAAAAATATCTAGATAGGTTTTCCTAGATTCGGTCGATAACAAAGCATCAAAATCTACTCATATCATATTTCTATTCGCTTTGGACACATTATGTTGACTGTTCAATGTTTACATACACGTTGTAATGCTGAAAAACATTTTAGAATAAACTGCTAATTTGAATAATAATCATTTCAATCCTATAATGTGAGTAATTTGAATAGTTAACCTATTATTAATCAATACGAAAAAGATATGTTAATCATTTTAGATCAAAGTCTTTATTTATCTCTTACTTCACTCTAGTTTGTAAACAAGTTTTATAACAAGTTAATTATGAATACATAATCTCAATGATATTATTGAACTACAATAAAAAACCCCAACTATATTCATCCAATAGCTTTCAGTTTCGTAGTGTGAAACTTATTTAAAGAAAATAAATAAATAGTGAAATCACGAAGCTTCACCTCCTAACATGACTCAATCCACTTGCCAGTGACTACATGGATTGGCGCTATGTTTTGGTTTGGCTGTCCCAAACTTTCTTCCATCCTACCACTATTCAACACAATGTCCGCACATTAAATGCTCCAACATGTTATTTAGAACGCGGTTTCAGGAGACCAGGAATAACGTTTCGTGAACTCACATCGTTTACATTAGCGGTACGGGATGATAAAGCAATGTGGGTATAGTCAATCGTGGAGATAAGAGAGATGTTACGGGGTGTAGGAAGGATTTGTTTGTGACCGATTTGGTGTCGCGTGCTATTACGAGTATGGGAGTGGATGTCACTTCCCGGCTGCCCACACCGTGGAAGGGTGTTTCTTGAGGAACCTGAAAAGGAAGGTAGACTAGTGTTGGTCTTAGAGACTTGTGAGCATGACCGCAGAGTTCAAGAGACAACTTCTTGAGGCCAGTCATGCACATCGCTGCAGATGCTGGTTGTCCGATGGAAACACCTTACTGGTGTCACACTTGTTTACAGTCAGCAGTACGACTTCGCCCTCAGACCTTGAGTAGCTACTTTTAGTCTTACTGTTTTCCGATTGGGTCATTACGATAATCAAACCCCACCACCACATCAAGGTAGTAGAAACGGTCGGGAATGATGATTTGGATTCACGGATGTTATTAAATGTTACTGCACATAAGACTGAATCAGTAGATGTTAAAGATAGTTTTTTTAGTATTTCGGAGGAATGGATTTGATTTACTTCCAGTTCCTCTTTTTTTATAAATGGTTAATTCCAACTTTATGGAATCTAGATCTGTAGTATAATCTTTCCTATGAACAGGGAGTGTAAATCGCGTCTGAACAAATTCTAACCTTTGTTCATCATTTTTGCAATCACTACTATAGTATTTTAGATAAAATGTAGATTCGGATAACTATTAACAAAGCATATCCATGCAGTGCTCAGTTTCGACCATTATTTATGACACTACTGGATTCATTTGTACCTATCTAAACTGACTATATCAACAAAATGTTCATACTTACTCGATATAGACTTGACTTCGAAATGACAAGAAGCATAGTTTTTAAAGAATAAACTGTTTAATTATTTAGCAATTAATTTGTTTAACGTAATTTCAGAATCTATCTGTATATATATATATATATATATATATATATATATAAATCTAAAAACGTGTATCATACATTTAATAGATATCGACGATGAGTACCAATGATACAACTCTTATCGATAAAGAGAATACTAACGATCTATCAGTTATATGTGTCCCTTTACCAAATGCTTGTCGAATCAAATCACCTGTACGATTACTGGTTTCCTATTTCGAAATTTTATCAGAACTCATGGAGTTGAAAGATCATGAAAATAAGGTAAGTCACTAATAAATTTATGTTCGAAAAGACATGACGACTGGGTATTTTTGTATACTTTGTCACGATATGTGATAGCTAGAAATGATTATTCAAAAACATGTACAATTTATTTGAATTTTTAGTTCTCACATTAGTTTTTGTATTCTTTTGAATTATTACCTTCATTGTTATGACATGTACCTAAATGCGGCACACTTGTCTGATTGATTCTAAAACATTTATATTTGTTTTTCAGTTAACTTATTTTAAATAGATTCCTTTTTGTATAACAGATAAACTATGTGAGATATTTGTATGAACACTGAATCAGTAGTATACATTTTTTTCAGGATGAATAGAAATGGTTCATTTTTCTGAGCTTATATAAATCTCAACATACACATCTCAATTATTATGATAAAATCTGCAAATTAATACCATATACTCTTATGAATTTGTTTGCTTATTTAGCTCTAAATATAGTTACAAATGTAAAATACAACTGATACCACTGGATTTTTTGATGTGCTAAATATTCAATAAGATATCTTTCTCTTGTACTGTGCTACATTAATAGTTATTTTTAATATATCTACGAATACAAAGCCTCGACTGACTCATGCCAACATGCGCACTTATGGCGTAGGTGAGATCATGATCACTGAGAATAGGGAATTATATTAGGTTACTGGTTTTCGATCATAGATGTCTCCGACGCATTGCTTGTTTTTCTTGGGACTATCGAGTAAGCAATGCTGTTGTTAGGAAACGGGTCCTAGGTAAGGATGGTAGATCAATAGATGAAGTGTTGAAACTTTATCAGTTGAGCTGGTTGGTATGTGTGCAATGAATGCGTAACCACTGGCTTATCTCGTGTGTATATCGAGACCTTTTGCTGCAGTCTGCTGCTACATTTCCATGAGTAAAATATTAATAGTTCATGTGTGATAATGATGGTAATCAGTCCTTGTCTTTTTGTGTGCGAAGTACTGATTGATCAATTCAACTTGGACTCAATAAAATAATAGCTCTGATTGATGTGATTAATTAAAAAAGTCATGATTTTCTAAGTTATGGGGAGGGTAGTTAGTAGATATCTTTGTAGTTTACATCATGATCTGATCCTCGTTAGACAACCATTGAAAACTAAGAGGCATTAAACAGTTTTTTGTCTCAGTACGAGACTACTCAGCAGTATTGAAACAAATAGTTTAAAACATGATAAAGAGTAGTGGATCTGAGTTACGCTTAGAGATTCCAAGCCCTTATATTTCAAAGTATATTCTCAGGCATGCCGTAATATCAAGCGAGCCCCCATATTTTCATCCTGTGAGCGTAATTATTCTCAATTGCACATGGCGAAATAACCGTAATATTATTCTGGAAAGTAGGCTACCAGGTTTTTTGATTTTTGTTCATTTTTCCACTCACGGCACAGACCATAATCAGTGTTATCGATTTATTTCAATTGTGTTTAAAGTTTTCTATACGCTTGAAATTAGGCATTTTGTCATTTCATTCAATCTACAGACGATTTACATTGTTACATGATCGCACACAAACATTTTTAACTGTACCAGTTGTTCGAAATTTCATATAAAACAGACTGAATTGTTTCTTGTGAACACAACTTTATCACTAAACTGTTCACCTGGGAACGTGAACAGCTCTTCACTTTTTTCCATCCTCTCTGTCCCATCAGTAAAAACCAATAATTACATTCCAGATAATGGTAAACTTAACATTGATCTTTATCCTTTATTTTCTTTGGCTACCATTCCATGTGACAATGATTAATTTTTGTCAGAACTGAATTTTAGCTATCGACATTACTATCATCTTTTGTGACTGACTACTTCTATTTACATGTTATGATATTTTTTTCTCATGACAAAAATAATCTTACTACATATATTGAGAAGTGAATAGATCTCGATAATTAACGATACGTCTCAATCATTAAATAATACCAAATGTTGTTTGATCGATTTCTTTGTGGAATAAGCAGTGTTATTTTCAAATGTAAATGTGATCACAATTTTCTCTTTTTATTCACTGATATTATTGGGTTCGTCACTTAGTATGCTTGAGGCTATTGCGAGTTAACTTAGTCGATAAACGCGAACGAGACTTTTACCAGCGTCCAGGTAGGCTACGTTGAATCCAAACGGTAAAACAGAAGTCTTGGTAAGCGTAGAAAGTATATTCTGCAAACACCCAGCAATCACAGTACAATCAAGCATACAACTCTCGTTTATTTATTCATCATAGAAACATCCTTGGGACAGTTAAGAAAATTGCACACTAAAATACACAGCAGCCAATCACAGCCACGGATTTTCCTGGTGGTAATTGAAATCTCAAAGTCAACTGATCAGCCCAAAATAAGGCATTTATCAAGCGGATTTTGGGGATCTAACATCCCCAACAGACATCTTAACCTCTTATCAAATTTTGATCGATATCATTTAAAGTGGTGATGACGAAAAACAATAGTTTATGAACACTCTTTCGCTGTCTTTTACGATTTTAAAGTATCATATTATGCATATGACGAATTTAATCTGAACATTCGCTTTAATCAATTACATATATTCCTTCTAGTGTTCATGTTTGTCTTCATTCAATTTTCACTGATAAATGTACGCTTAAAAACTGGCGTGGTTTAGACTATACATAGTGTTACTTCATTCAACATGTTGAAGACCAATCATAGTCTGTATTGTTTTTATTGGTCATTAGGTTTGTGGTACTGAGCTCTTATATAATAAGTGTTACATAATAGAAGATAATTTGCACTAACGATCTCATTCAAAGCGACTGAATTTATCCAAGACTGTTTGGTTTAGGCATATTCAAAGCAAAAGAACGACACATGCTGCACTAAATGAATGTAAAGCAGTAGATAAGATACACTTAGTGAGTAATCACAATATCAGGAATAATATCAACCCCATATGTTAGACAAAATAGAGATATTTTTGATAAATCATTAAATGAACATTGAAGAACGTGAAATAAAAACAGTAAATAGTTCGGTTATCTATATTTATTTTTATTATTTGATGGATCGATTAGGCTATTGCCGGCTTGTTTAAACATGTTTTCATTGTTTTTGTGTATTTAATTTTATAACCTGCTCATCCATGCTTTGTTACATTTTAGCATGTTTCAGATCGGTGATCAACGTTTTTGTTCCATTTTTAGTGTCTTCAGTTCTTGTGTTATTCTTTTATTCAAATCGTTTTTAAATTATCGCTCCCTATAAAGTTGTATTTGTCATCTCTGATGAAGTGCAACTGAAATAATAGATATTTATTGATTTTTTAATGCACTTCCTTCTTGAGTCAGTTATTGAGTTAGTCAAACGAAATGTAGAACGTGTGTACATGGGTTCAAAGTGACATCCCGCCCATTACGATAGCTAGAAAAAAATTTTCAGCGCAAATCTCAAGGGACTACTGATAAATCACAGTATTAGTGGTGGTACAGATGATTAAGAATTGAAGATACTATTCGAGAAATTATAAATTAGTGAAATAATAAGAATTTATGAATTTCGAAATTTAGGATCTGAGGGAAGACGCAGAATGAATGTAATTGCACCACTGCGAATTATTTGGAGCTATATCAAGTAAAGTTCCTACCGATTGGTCACGATAAAGATGCAGACCAGCTGTTCTTCTTTACAAGCACATTATTTCTTTTTTCCCTTACTTTTGCATTGAAAGGATGGCACTTTATTCTGGTTAATGATTAACCATGTAATTAGTGGAAAAATATTAAATATGATGGACAGTTATCACTAGTGAATATCAACATTAGTACTAATGACTGGTATTTTACGTTACACACACCATTTTTGGCCTAGTATAGGACTCATTGGCAAGGTAGATCTATCACACTGCTAGACGCGAGACCTATAAGTTTTGGGTCCGATCACCATTCAGGTCATCGGTGTACTCTACTCAGGAGTCATCCATAACAACCAGCATTTGAATAAAATGCAAAAGATTTGTTAGACAATATCTTTTCCTGTTGTTTCTGTTTTCTTTTAATTGCTTAATTGTAGTATTCTGTTTGTTATTGTGTGCGTGTTATTAATATTGAACTACTCATCAAATATTTAATCAGTTTCATCATTGACGTTGCATTCAAAGGGGAAGGTATTATTCATAAAACAAAGTAACAATGAAAAGAAAAATATCTCTGCACTTCAACTGTTTTCAATGTATAACACTTGATGTTACTTAAGCGAATCAAAAAGGAGTCAGTCACTTATTTATGAATTAATGTGTACCTGTGGAAACAATTAAATAGGAAGGACTGAAAGGAAGTAAAGTGTCCATTACTAGACATTTAGTGGATAGTAAACACAACATGGATGTGTTTCAAATAATTAACAAGCAGTAAACAGCACTTTGCGGAGTCGATTTTCATCAAACACTCTCAAGTTGGCCTTTGTATACTTAAAGAGTGGTAAAACTCACACCGCCATCATAAAACGTTCATATCATTTTAACGTTTATCTCTGTATTATTAAAATAAGAAATTCCACTGACATCCACTCATGACATTAACTCTGATTACATATTAACTAGGTTCCTTGATTATTACTCATTTGTCAATTATTTGCATTTATTTAGTTTTTCTACTATCATCTGTATGACTAAATCCTCATAATAATGATATTCATAAATCTAAGCAACGCATGTATGCATTGTTTCCTCTTCTTGTTTCGTATATCATTTTGAACTAAACTTCGTTGATTAGGATATGTCAGACTTTTTGCAATTATCGTACTATTGTAACTTAGGTTTATTTGCTGTTTATAATAGGCCGTAAACCATATAATGAATTCATGTTCTGAAAATTTCGTTCGTATTATATTTAAATTATTTAATTTTATTGAAATCATTATCAATGCTTCAACTACTTTTTACAGTTCTTTATTGCACGACTATTAATAATACAACATTATTTCTACTCTGTGGGCGTGATATTTTTAATTTACGAAA